AAAGGAAATTTCATTTCCTTCATCCTTCATTTCATTCATCCCTAGGAAGTGCTGAAGAAGCAATTCCTGGGCACACTTAGCCAGCTCCCCAAGCCTGGATGCTTACAGGCCATTAGCACTGCTGATAGCCTTTTTTCTGTGGGAAAAGCTCCCATTTGCCTTGTGCTCCAGCTGTGTCCAAACTGGGATCTATGAACTTGATCTATGTTGCTCAGCAATTGCCTGGGGTGAAGTGGGGGACAAAGGGCTGCGGACAAGGTGGTTCAACAACCTGCTCCAGGTGCGTTTCAGATTTACGATTTCCTTCTGGTTTGCTCCTACTTGGTTGGAGACTGGAAAAATCATTGAGGCAGCAGCAGCTCAGGGTTTCAAGCTGCTATTACCTGCATGGAACCGTCCTGCTCCGTGGCACAGGAGATTCCTCATGGGGACAGCAGCCCGTGTCTGACACCAGGGGGAACTGTCTTGTCACAGGAGCCACCGCCGCTCTGCTTCTTCAGTTTTGCCTGTGTCCTCCGATGTGCCCTGCAAGTCTGGGCCACTGCAATCTCTGCTGGCATTTCTATGCCTCTCGGTGGCGCTGGCTTTAATTTTAATGTAGCAAGTTGATCAGCTAAACGTGAACTCCTCATGGGAGAAATGCAGCTTCTCAGTTGCTGCCTTATCCTGGCATATTGGACCTACGTGTTGTGGGACGGCAGTGCTGCAGCTGGATATGGGGCAGTGACAAATGCATGCAATTTATCAGAGACTTAAAATCTGAGTGGGGTGGGAAACAGACTGTTCCAATGACAGCAGCAGTTTGAAAATGGATTATATTCCCTGTATAGTGAAACAGCAGTGCCAGAGTTTTTGCTGGCATTCTCTATTCCATTCACCAGCCTCTGCCTTCAGTGATGCGAAGTTCATGTGCTCCTTCCTGCTGATTGAAATATCATGGTTAGAAATGTGGTAAATGCAAAATGTTCTTCAAAAGCAAACCATTTTCGTCATGTCCAATGGGAGTTGTTTCACAGTATTTCTTTCGGGAGAGGAATGAAAAATGCAATATATAAACGTTTTTGTGATACATATTATTGTAACAAGCAAAATCAGACAGGAAAAATTGGTGGGGTTTTTTTTTTCCATTTTGAAAACAATGTGTTAACCCTGACCCTGCAAAACACAGATCTAGAGGTTTGGGTGTGTATATGGTGAAAACCAAGCTCTAACAGTGGCTACAAAATAAATTAGGAAGTTCTGCTTACAAGTGACAGCAGAATTATTGCTAACTTCAACAGAAACTAAATGTATGTGGTTAAGTGTCAGAAAAACATTTTTAATAGTTAGAAATAGTTCTGAATTTTTGCTTTCATTACTGAACTTCAATTTCAAAATAATAACTCTGGATGACACAGAATTTCATTAGAGTTTCAGGTGTCCTACAGATTTAAGAAACTGAAGTGCAAACAGTAAAACTTTGAGCAGGACTAGGTATGTTCTTAATACAGAAATATTTCATTCAGTGGCTATTTTAGAAGTGGTGTGTTAATGGCCTTTGGCAAATATGCATCATGCTTGGGCTATAACTACAGAGGAAAGACATTACCAGATGGGACCTGAAAAAGCAACAGTGGGTAGAGATAGTAACTTCAGATTTTCTTTGAAAAATTATCTTTTTTTTTTTAGTGATAGCAGGACTTGGGACTTGCATAGATCAGACTTGTTCCCTCATTGTCCTGCTAAGACTAGGGCCTTATATCACTCACAAGATCACAGTGAGGGACCTCACAAAGGTTATAGAGACAAAATAGAAATGACAGAACTTAACCCATAACCCATTAATTCATTAATAGTTTCTCTTTGAAAAACATCATTAAAATTTCAGACTACCCTGGGTCAGGACTTCAAATCCACTTCCACCAAATTCTGAACCCAAAGGAAATATGTGGATTGTGACTGGTCCTTCTGGTGCCAGTGTTGGAAATGTCAGCTTTCACTGCTAAGCAATTTCCTAGGCCAAACTGATGCTTTGACCAGCTGCACTTCTAAGCTTTTTGCATAAGTTTTTTTGTTAAAAAAATCCCCAAGAATCAAAATTAAAAAAAAAAAAATAAAAGGAAGAAGAAATGTAAATCCTATTGTTTTGGAACTGTGTTGTAATATTTGAATGAGGTCCATTCACAGTGGCACCTAAAAAATACTGATGTCCATATAGCTCACTGCAAGCAGTTCAGCTAAACATGGGTCTTGTTTATTCTAAGTAGAACATGAAATATAGTCATGAACCTGCCAAGGACATTTGGATTCAGGTTTTACTAGTTCCTCAAACTTAACCCAGCTGGGAAAAGATTTATAGTAAGTGTCAGCGTGATTCTCAAAAAGGAAAAAAGTTGATAATAATGAAAAATTAGGATGCAAAGATAGCTCATCAACCTCAAAACCCCAAAGCCCAACACCCACCCCCCAAACCCAGAGATTTCCTCACCTTCTTTTTGCACATCTAAATTCTATTCCGTGGATAGATACAAGTGTGCATGCATTTCCATGTGCAAATTGTGACTTGCTAAGTAAGCAAGAGTCTGCCTTTAATTTATAGCAGATGAAAAGGTTTTATCGCATACTGAGAGAATTATTTACTTTCTCATGGGTAATGGGGAGGAACTGGATGTTGCTGCTCCTCAGAGATGTGTTGATCCAGTCTAAGGATAAATGTATCATTAGTGCTGTACAAAGAAAAGCTTTGCAGGTCATCAGAAACCAACCAGGCAGTTAGAAAACACCAGTTCCCTGCTGCAGAGGTTTTGAAAGAGAAGTTGTGTCTTTAAAAAAAGGCTACAATTAACTGAAAGTCCATTTCTTAAAGAGACATCAAGGGACTTTCTGCCAGGCTTGAATGGTGCAGCACAGCAAGGGCAGCAATGCCTGTCTCAGCTTGCAGCGGAACCCAGACCT